GCATTTAGATGTGTTTTACCCGTAGGCGTGAAGGGGTTAAGTAACACTTACAGGTCTCTTCCTCAGCCCAGCCTGTGATTGCACAGTGAAAATAGATACACAACACTGATTGGCTCATCTATCTGTGTGACTTTGCCCTCCCATCCTATCAGCATGTTGCTTTCTAGCATATGTGCACTGCAGAACACTTGATTGACTCTTTGTGCTGCTTCTCCCTCTCCAAATGTAATATATGTTGTATAGGGACTGTAAGATGTATTTATTTATTACAGGGTACTTATATAGCCCCATCTATTTATGCAGCAATTTACATATATAGCACAGTCACATCAGTCCCTGCCCTCAAGAAGCTTACAGTCTAAAGTCCTTAACTCACATTCATATGCTAAGGCTGATTTAGGCAGGAGCCAATTAAACTACCAGCATGTCTTTAGAGTGTGGGAGGAAATTGGAGTACCCAGAGGAAACTTGCAGGCACAGGGAGAACATGCACAGGAAGAAATGCAAACGCCAGGCAGGTAGTGCCGTGGTTTGGAATTCAAACCAATGACCCTAGTACTCCAATACAAAGTCAAATTCATGTACTTGCATTGCTGGAATTTGAAAAAAAAAAGGCATTTAATATGGAAGCAGAGTGTAATAATATTTCAAAATATTACAAAAATAACTGCATCCCTTATACTGTATATGCAAAACTGTCTGTGTTTTAGATTTGAGAGAAACACCGAGTTCTTTTTTATTCAGGTACAAAAGGTGATCCTACCCATGATTGCTCACAGCATTTGCTTGCAATTTAGATAACAAGAACATAACTGTCCCTATTTAGATGAAATTTTTACCATTCATTTGAATTAGATAAAAGCATTGGTTGTAAGTATTCTTCTTTCTGTTTTGTCTGCAATTTCCTCCCACATAGAAATTATTAGTTTTTTTTATATATTGACAACGTTTTTCTTCATTTCCGAGTTGCGCTGAATAGTATTTGTTTTGTTTAATACTGACAATCATCCTCAAGTATTCCAATAGAGCTGCATCTGCTACCATCAAAATTGTCCTTAAACTCTGAGTCAGAACATACAAGGTTGTTATTACTGAGTTATCCTCAATTATACTACACAAATGTAATGTTTGCTATTATAGAATTCCCTACAGATTGTGCAGGTAAAATGAGAAAAAAGTATAGTCTTTTAAAGTTTCTGTGGTAAGTGTCTGGATGAATACTGAAATTAATGTTATGAATGATTACTTAAAGCCCAGCTGGAGTCATCTTTTGTATTTAAAAATGTTGCCCAGTGTGATGACCTAGGAGCACAGAGAGAGACAGAGAGCACATGGAGGCAGATTACACAAAACCCAACATGAGGGCGTTTATTGGGGAAACTCAGGGTTCAGAGAATAGAAAAACGAGTCCACAGAACACAACACAAGACACAGCAATGAAAAAATATACTCAGGGTGGCAGTATGGGGCAGCAGAGGGCAGGTAGTCCACAGGGCAAACAGAGCAGAGTAGGGTTAAGTCCAGCACACAGGGCAAAGGGTTATGGGTAGAATAGGGATAAGTCCAACACACAGGGCAAAGGGTTCTAGGCAGAATAGGGATAAGTCCAACACACAGGGCAAAGGGTTCTAGGCAGAATAGGGATAAGTCCAACACACAGGGCAAAGGGTTCTAGGCAGAATAGGGATAAGTCCAACACACAGGGAAAAGGGTTCTAGGCAGAATAGGGATAAGTCCAGCACACAGGGCAAAGGGTTCTAGGCAGAATAGGGATAAGTCCAGCACACAGGGCAAAGGGTTCTGGGCAGAATAGGGATAGGGTCCAACACACAGGGCAAAGGGTTCTGGGCAGAATAGGGATAAGTCCATCCACACACAGGGCAAAGGGTTCTGGGCAGAATAGGGATAAGTCCAAACACACAGGGCAAAGGGTTCTAGGCAGAATAGGGATAAGTCCAACACACAGCGCAAAGGGTTCTAGGCAGAATAGGGATAAGTCCAACACACAGCGCAAAGGGTTCTGGGCAGAATAGGCATAAGTCCAGCACACAGGGCAAAGGGTTCTGGGCAGAATAGGGATAAGTATAGGGCTACTTTCACACTAATGCATGTATACTGTGTTTTTAGCTTGTCAGAATAGGGATAAGTATAGGGCTACTTTCACACTAAAGCAGGTATACTGTGTTTTTACCTTGTAAATCCTATGGGGCACCTGCATGTGAGGTGTGTTTTTCAGGCTCCATTCACATGGGGTGTTTTGATAACGCTGGTAACATTAGCTGTGTAAAGTCACGTTAAAAATGTGAGTTTTTCTGAGTTTTTGTATTAGCGATTAGTGCCATTTTATCGGTATTGTGCCGTGTTTTTCAGCGTTAGATCGTTTTTTATAGCTAAAAAACTCCTCTAGAAACCTACTAGTCCTGGGGTTTTTTTTTCCAGCCAAAAAACATTTATTACAGTCTATGTGTGGATGGACACACAGGATAACATGCTGGGGGGTTTACTGGCTGTAGAGAAAAAAACATCAAAAGCCAAAAACAGCCGCTGTAAGGCTAGGTGCACATCTGTGTGCGGGGTGGTGCCGCTGCGTATCCGCACACAAATCTGTGCAGCCGCAACACTCGCAGAGGAACATGGAACCATGGGCAGGTGCCATTAATTCTAGTGGCACACCGCCTGCACTGGAAAACGCAACCGTACTGGGAACAGAGATTCCCGTGCAGGCTGCGTTTTCAGATGAAGTGCAAGTGAATGGGCTCTCGTGCCCGCGCAAAACGTGGACCACACGGCCGAATATATGTGAACCAGGGCTAAAAATGTCCAGTGTGCATGAGGACTAAAAGTCCTGCATGCTGCATCTTTGGTGCACTTTTCAAAACCACATCACAAACCCATCTCCCCTATTAAAAATTAATGAAAAACACCTAAAAAATGCATTAGAAATGCTCTGCGGTTGCATTTTTTGATTGTTTATGAGTCACATTGTCGATGTTTCACAGGGTGTATGCTCCCAGAAAAAAATGCACCAGAAACGCATATGTGTTTTTAATGCATTTTTCAATGGAGCAGTGTGAACACACACAAAAAAAAGACTGGGGGTGGAGATGGTGGAAATGGGCATGAAATCCTAGCTCCAGCAAAAACATATTTTATTAGTTTTGAATAAAGTGAGGAAGGGTTAAAATGCTTTTCACAACTTCAATACTATCTGTGTCCCCATTGAGGATATTTTTGTCAGATTTTAAATGCTGATCCTAAAGAGGAAATTTCTCTTCTATTCCTGTGCTGACACCCGTCACCTGGGCAGGAATTGAGGATAAATCTCCCTCATGGGAATGTAGCACCAAAATACTGATAGAGCCTTCCTAACTTTACTAGAACATGTGTTTTAATGGCTGTCATTGGGGGATTCCCCTGACTTCCTGATTTGTCTTATAAGGGTCACAGAAAGTGAGGAGGGTTCTAAGGACTCGTTCACATGGCCATGAGTGCATGGGCATTTATGGCCATGTACCCACATCCACACAGCTATCAATTCAGAAGCAGCGGCTGTGTCCATGTAGCTGCTCTATCCTAACTGAAACAAATGGGACTACCTGCACAGGGACGCATGGAAGACCTGTGCATCTGTGTGTGTTAACACTATACAGGTATACCTTGGTTTAAAATTTAATGCTTTCTTCGGGACGTTTCGTATTGCGAAAAATTTGTAAACCGAAACCTGGTTTCCCATAGGAATGCATTGAAAACCAATTAATCCATTCTGGAGGTAAGAAAAAAGTAAAAAAAAAGTCGCTGTCACTATAGATCAGTGCCGTTTTTTAAATGTAATTACCAGCTTTTTTTTTTCTTCACTATAGCTCAGAGAATCAGCTGTCACTTTCCCCCCCAGCTAAAAGAGAGAAAGTTTCCTTTTAGTTTATTTCCCGGAGTTTTAAAAGAAACAAAGTATCCTTTAGCTTCGGGGAAAGTGACAGCTAATTCTGTGAGCTATAGTGAAGAAAAAAAAGCCGGCAATTGCATTTAAAAATCGGCACCGACATACACTTCGTATTGCGAAAAAAAAATTCATAAAAAATTTGGAAACCGAGGCATTATTTTCAATGGATTTTTCATTTGTAAACTGAAAATTACGTTAACCGAGGCGTTCATAAACCAAGGTACAGCTGTAGTGAACAATCGTGCGAACAAGGCCTAATACTTCCACATGATTCAAATCGAAAAAAAAAAAAACAAGGCTTCTTTGCATGTGTAGTATGTGGTCAGCATATTTGCTCAGTATCTGTGCAGGCTATCATTCCTACTTACATAGAAGCACTGTATAGGTATTTTTGTATAGTGAATGTTCTTTACTGTTCTGTCAAATATTTCAGTTTTCTCAGACAGATTGAGAACAATGTATTCTCTATGTAAATTATTCTACATGACAAGAATGACCACTCACAGCCTGATTTACAGCCTCTAGACCAGTCTCTCTCAACCTTTTTACAGCAGAGGGACCCTTGGAATAATCTTCAGGGTTTAGGATTCATTCACACTAGAATGCACACATTAACACTTCTTGCTACAATGCATGGCATAGCTACTGCTCTGTGTGTGGTGCGTCATGATGGCCTTCATTGTCTGCATTGTACAGTGGAGCCCAACACACCGCAGTGCTCCACAATATATATGTTGTGGTGTGTTGCATTGTTAAAAAAGGGTCATGAATGATTTTCATTCACTTGGACAGGGGTAGGCAACCTTTCAGGAGTGGAGATCTACCTGTATCACATCAAAGAAATTAAAGACCTGCCACCACCGTTTTGTTTTTAAATAAATTAATTAACTAGCAAGCCCTCAATAAAAAGTATAGACGGCAAGAAGAAATCTTAGGAAAATCTAATAAAACAAATGCTACTTTAAAATATAAACTTAGCCTTTCTTAAATGTTAATTTCAGCCAGAAACTCGACATTCACTTTCATTCACAAATTTTTCATTGGGAGGTCAGTGGAAAGAATGTCTCTTACATTGGAGGTCAGTGGGAAGAATGCCCCTTACATTGGTGGTCAGTGGGAAGAATGTTCCTTACATTGGAGGTCAGTGGGAAGAATGCCCTTTATATTGGTGGTTAATGGGAAGAATGTTCCTTACATTGGAGGTCAGTGGGAAGAATGCCCCTTACATTTTAGATCAGTGGGAAGAATGTCCCTTATATTGGAGGCCAGTGGAAAGAATTTTCCTTACATTGGAGGTCAGTGTGGGAAGAATGTTCCTTACATTGGAGGTCAGTGGGAAGAATGTCCCTTACATTGGAGATCAGTGGGAAGAATGTCCCATACATTGGTAGTCAGTGGGAAGAATGCCCTTTACATTGGTGGTCAGTGGGAAGAATGCCCCTTACATTGGAGATTAGTGGCAAGAATGCCCCTTACATTGGAGATCAGTGGGAAGAACGTCCCATACATTGGTAGTCAGTGGGAAGAATGCCCTTTATATTGGTGGTCAGTGGGAAGAATGCCCCTTATATTGGAGGTCAGTGGGAAGAATGCCCCTTACATTAGAGGTCAGTGGGAAGAATGCCCCTTACATTGGAGGTCAGTGGGAAGAATGCCCTTACATTGGAGGTCAGTGGGAAGTATGTCCCTTACATTGGAGGTCAGTGGGAGAAACGCCCCTTACATTGTAGATCAGAGGAACAAAGAACGCACAGCTGCATTGCAGGTGATGGGGAAAGGTCATCCTTACAGTATATTCAGTGAGTGGAAGAATGAGTCTCATAGTTGTGTTCAGTGACTAAGATTAACATCTGCCCCCCAACACCGATGTTCAGTGGGAAGAATGATGAAAAATATCACTGGTGTCAGACCTTTGTCTTTATAAAGTGATGGGGGCCCCAAAACCACGCAGGCACATTCACATGGGAGGTCAATCTGCCACTGCTCAAACATTTCCTAGCAACCTCTGGAGGTAATCTAGGGTTCAGTGTGGTTAAGAATGGATACTCAAAGAGGGAGAATCTACAACTCTGTGCTTGTAATACAATTCTGAAAATTTGGAACAGAAATTTTAAATACAAAAAATGACCTTTGGGTAATTTTTTTAACTGAAAATGCATTTCCTTCCATGTACATTAAAGCGGAGTTACAGACTGGGAAAAAAAAAAAAAAAGTCAGCAGCTACAAAAACTGTAGCTGCTGACTTTTAAAATACAGACACTTACCTGTCCCTCGGTCCTGTGGTGTCTTCACCACCACTGGTTTCATCGGCCATCTTCTCTCTCCCTGACGCTGGCACCTTCAGTGTGGGCACCCAGCTGTGACAGCTTCCGGCTTCACAGCCGGGTGCCCACTGCGCATGCATGAGAAGCACTGCACTTTGTGAATGGCCCCGTAGTCTTTCGGGACCTATCACGGGAGGGAGGACAACTTCCACTTCCGATCGCCTGATGATAAAACATTCTTTTGGTGGTATTTATTCACCACTGGGATTTTTATTTTTTGCTATATAAATGAAAATCAAAAAAAATTTTTTTTTTTTCAAATTTTTTGCGCAAAAAATAAAACACTGGTGATTAAGTACCACCAAAAGAAAGCTCTATTTGTGTAAAAAAAAGATAAATATTTCAAAGGGGTACAGGGTACAGTGTTGCATGACCGTGCAATTGTCATTTAAAGTGCGACAGGGCTGAAAGCTGAAAACTGGTCTGGGCAGGAAGGGGTATAAGTGCCCTGTAGGCAAGTGGTTAATTTAGATGATCAGTTGAAGTTCAGTAAGCTCTGGGGCAATTCCCACTGCAAAGTGCACCTTCCTTTGTAAAGTAAACAGTCTATTTGCTTTCAGTAAATCAAACCCAGTATGTCTTAAAAAAAAAAAAAAAAAAAAAAAAAAAAAAAGCCTCTCTTCTTTTTTCACTTAGGTAAATCCGGGAACTATGATTACCCAACCTTCTAATCTACTGCACATGTCGGAAATGGACACAACATACATCTTTTATTGTGTGCTACAAACTTTGTTGTGCATTCTGCTTACCTAATATTTCCTTCGCCTTGGTTAAATGTTGAAAAACATTTGAGTCATCACATATTACTACTGCAAACCTGAACCACCTGTCACTCCAGGGAAGGAGATCAGTGATTCAAGAGATGCTCAACAAGCTTCATGTCACAGGACTGCCATCTAGGGACAACTCATGGTACTACACAGAGCAGCAGCTCTGATCTGACAGGAGCAGTACAGTCACTATTGTTAAAGAAGAACTCCACCCTAATTTTCATAATGAAAGATAAAAATCCCTAACAATTGATTCTATATACAAAATAAAAACACATAGCTACGACTTCATGAAGTCCAGTGTTTACTTGCTTGCAGGAAAAATTCTCCAGTCTCCACGTTTCTCCCATTCTGCCATCTTGAATCGCCATCACATGTGCAGATGCACACCCAGGTCTGCTAGATCTATAGGACTTGCCAGAGAGACTCCATACCAGGGCTGTGGATAAGGGGGTACCACCAGTCCTCTTGTATGGGGCCCAGGCCAGTAGGGGGGCCCAGGCAGCTGGGTGAATCGTATGTTGGCAGGGAGGGTGATTGGCACAGTGTGTGGGGGGGGTGATTGGCACAGTGATGGTGGGGGGGGGCATTACTGGAACTGTTCCCCTGTATGGCTCTCCCTGCAACAGATTAAAACAGGCTTCTTCTCCTCTCCCTCCCACAGGTTTTCAGCTGCTGCAGAGAGAGCCATACAGGGGATCGGTACCAGTCATTTCCCTTGCACTGCACCCATCACCCTCACTTTGCACCCTACATTTCCCCCTGCTGGCCAGGCCCTCCATGTGTCCCCACCCCCTCAGTGCTGCCAGCTTCCCTCCTCTCCTTACCACCAACAGCTACAAGTACACAACAGGATCCTTCAGGATGGAGGATGGGGGAAGGGTCCCATAAATATGCCACATTTATCAGCTCCATCCTTTTCTAAATGATCACAATGAGTGATTGGAACCAATCACTCACCGTGTTCATTCATAACTGAAGCATAGTAAACTGTGGGGAAGGGGGACCTGTCAGGTTGGCTGTATGGGGCCCTGTGGTTTCTAACACCAGCCCTGCCCATGACGCATCTGTAAGACAGTGACCAGCGGCATCCACTTCCTGGGACAAAACACTGATGTTGTTCCTTCCACTTTGTGACATCAGAAACCGGAAACGAGGATTTTGTCACTTCCAGTTTCGGTCTCAAGTAAACAAGCCATTATCAGCTCTTGAAAGCATCCGATAAAACCAAACTCAGTTTGACCAGATGCTTTGAAGGCCAGGAGGAGAGATCTGGGTCTCTCCATAAGAGGACCTGTAATGGCCAATGCTATGTATCTCTCCATAAAGGGGACGTGTAACGGCCAATGATATAGATCTCTCCATAAAGAGGAGCTGTAATGGCCAATGCTATGGATTTCTCCAATAGAGGACCTGTAACGGCCAATGCTATGTATCTCTCCATAAAGGGGACGTGTAACGGCCAATGCTATAGATCTCTTCATAAAGAGGACCTGTAACAGCCAATGCTATGGATCTCTCCAATAGAGGACCTGTAACGGCCAATGCTATGGATCTCTTCAATAGAGGACCTGTAACGGCCAATGCTATGTATCTCTCCATAAAGAGGATGTGTAACGGCCAATGCTATGTATCTCTCCATAAAGAGGATGTGTAACGGCCAATGCTATGGATTTCTCCATAAAGGGGACGTGTAACGGCCAATGCTATAGATCTCTTCATAAAGAGGACCTGTAACAGCCAATGCTATGGATCTCTCCAATAGAGGACCTGTAACGGCCAATGCTATGTATCTCTCCATAAAGAGGATGTGTAACGGCCAATGCTATGGATCTCTCCATAAAGAGGACCTGTAATGGCCAATGCTACCACAAGGGATGTTGTCCATCCCTTGTGATAGCAATAAAGTTGATCCCAAAAAAAAAGGTACAATGTAAAAAAAAAAAAAAATAATAATACCAAAAATGTTTACAGTGCCTCATCCACCCCATGTTCATGTGCAATTGCAAATGCGTACATAGGTCCCACATGCATATGCAAACAGAGATCACACCACACATGTTAGGTATTGCCATGAATGTCAGAGCAAGAGCAATAGTTCTAGCACCAGACCACTTGTGTAACTCTAAACTGGTAACCTGAGTTTTTGATGTGTTCTGATTCATTTTTTCCCTCTCTTTTGCTTCAGTTTAAATAGGGACATATGCATTGTGCGTTTTTGGTGCGTTCTGGTGCGTTTCTGATGCATTTAACCATGTTCCAGTACAGTTCTGTGCAGGAAAAATGCAGCATGTTGTACTTTTTTCTGCAACTGGAATGCACTGGAACTGCAAGCATTGATGTGAACTCATTGACAACCATATAACCTACTTTCTGTGCATTTTGGATGTAGAAAAAATCAACTGAAACGCATGTTGTGTGAACTGGCCCTAAAGGAAATTCAAAAAAACAAAAAAGACCATGTGCCAGAAATTTACTTTTTTAATAACAATCCCAGCATGCATCAGAAGCCCGGCCCCTAAAGCCTGCTGATTGACCAGGTAATAAATATTCTTAAAGCGGAGTTCCAGTGAAAATTAAAAAAAATAAAAGTCAGCAGCTACAAAAACTGTAGCCACTGACTTTTAAAAAATGGATACTTACCTGTTCTTCGATCCTGTGGTGTCCCCCGCAGTCCGTTTCACACGGCACCCTGTGTTTCCGGCACCGGCACCTGGTTGTGACAGCTTGCTGCTTCACAGCCGGGTGCTCACTGCACATGAGCGAGTAGATTTGCACTTTGTCACCGTACTCTTCTTGGACCTGTCACGTGTCCCAGAAGACTACAAGGAGGGGTGGGGGACCATTTCCGCTTCCGATCGCCTAGGCAATCGCAGAAGAAGTGGGAGCGGGTACCTTCAATTTCAGGTACCCACCTCCCCTCCCCCACTCCTCAAAGGTGCCAACCCTTAATGGAGAGCGGGGGACCAATCCTTAAAGTGGAACTTCCCCTTCTGGGTACATGACATAGGATGTTATCTCTAGGACTCCAGCTGGAGCAAGCTCTACATATCACATGCTTAGAGAAAACCAGTCAGAAACTAAGCCGACTAAATCTCTCGGAATTTGGAAAAATACCACATCCCTATATTTGTACATGGGCATTGCTCATCTCTATGGATATTACATATAAAATTGAAGTTGAGGAAATCAAGCAGCTAAGCTCCCCCTGCCTGATTTACGCTGGCCGGCAGGGTGAACAAAAAGAACTAAAAGGTTCCTCCATCCACACAAACAAAGTGGATGGAGGAATCCTCCTGCTGGGACACTGTCTTCTCACAGCGGGACCCTTTGCTGGTAAAAAGGTTGGGAGGACCACAATTGGGCTCAGGGTAGGATTTCTGCTGCTGTTCCTAATTTTGAGATATGGATTGCGTGCACGCAGGAAAATAATTACACGGACAACTGTCCAGTACAACCACTTTCACATCATCTCATCTCTGTTTATTGCAGGGCGGTGCTTAACCTTTTATACATAGAGAACAATAGAGTATACGTCACTATTACGTATATACAGTCACATTCTGAAAGGCACATTTTGCTTGGTTGAAATATAGGAGAAATGT